ATCAAGAAAATCACTAAGTGGCATAGTAGTATCAGGCATAGAGGTAGTTTCATCATAAGTATCATGCATAGCAGAAGTGGCATCATCAATAACAGGCGACATATCAGAACGAATAGCAGAAGCAGGTGTAGGTGTCGCAAACTTACTCATAACAGAAGGTGAATCAAGTGCAGAGCTAAATGGCAGTTCCTTACCTCCCCTCGTAGTTGAGGGATATATCTTGGTTTTTGGATCTCTCAAGTTCTTCATAATGATAAGCAGATATATATCCCAAGTGACTCAAAGAAAAGAGCTATGCTCCCCGGCAACGGCGCCAGAAAATGGTCTTGATAACCTACAAGTATAGGGGATCGCAATAGTTTTCGAGGGTAGAGTATTCAACCCAAATTTATTGATTCGACACAAGGGGAGCCAAATAATATTCTCAAGTATTAGCAGCTGAGTTGTCAATTCAACCACACCTGGAAACTTAATATCTGCAGCAAAGTGTTTAGTAGAAAAGTAATATGATAGTAGTGGTAATGGTAACAAAAGGTAACAGTAGTAAAAGCAATGTTTTTGGTATTTTGTAGTGATGATAGCAATAGCAACAGAAAAGTAAATAAGCTAAGAACAATATATGGAAAGCTCGTAGGCAATGGATCAGTGATGGAGAATTATGTCGGATGTGGTTCATCATGTAACAGTCATAACCTAGGGTGACACAGAACTAGCTCTAGTTCATTGATATAATGTAGGCATGTATTCCGAATATAGTCATACGTGCTTATGGAAAAGAACTTGCATGACATCTTTTGTCCTACCCTCCCGTAGCAGCGGGGTCCTTACGGAAACTAAGGGATATTAAGGCCTCCTTTTAATAGAGAACCGGAACAAAGCATTAACACATAGTGGATACATGAACTCCTCAAACTACGGTCATCACCGGTAAGTATCCCGATTATTGTCACTTCGGGGTTAACCGATCATAACACATAATAGGTGACTATAGACTTGCAAGATAGGATCAAGAACACTCATATATTGATGAAAACATAATAGGTTCAGATCTGAAATCATGGCACTCGGGCCCTAGTGACAAGCATTAAGCATAGCAAAGTCATAGCAACATCAATCTCAGAACATAGTGGACACTAGGGATCAAACCCTAACAAAACTAACTCGATTACATGATAGATCCCATCCAACCCATCACCGTCCAGCAAGCCTACGATGGAATTACTCACGCACGGCGGTGAACATCATGAAATTGGTGGTGGAGGATGGTTGGTGATGACGATGGCGACAGATTCCCGTCTCCGGAGCCGCGAACGGACTCCAGATCAGCCCTCCCGAGAGGTTTTAGGGCTTGGCGGCGGCTCCATATTGTAAAACGCGATGATTTCTTCTCTCTAATTTTTTCTCATCGAAACTCAATATATGGAGGTGAAGTTGGAGTCGGAGAGGCAATAGGGGGCCCACGAGGTAGGGGGCGCGCCCCCACCCTTGTGGCAAGACGGTGGGCCCCCTGGCCTTCATCTTTGGTAGGTATTTTTCTTATTTTCTGAAAAGTAGCTCCATGAAGTTTCAGGTCATTCCAAGAACGTTTGCTCCTGCACATAAATAACGCCTTGGTAATTCTGCTGAAAACAACGTCAGTCCGGGTTAGTTCCGTTCAAATCATGCAAGTTAGAGTCCAAAACAAGGGCAAAAGTGTTTGAAAAAGTAGATACATTGGAGACATATCACAGCTCAGGGGTGAAGGCACGGCAGCCGGCCGTGGTTGCCGGGGTCCGCTTCGGAGGTGGAGCTAGGTCTTGACGAGGTCCGCGCTGCGCCACTGCAGGCAGTACACGGTCTTGACGAGGTGGCGCGGGAAGCGCCGGTGCAGCTTCTCGCGGCCGTGGGATTTCTTGGCAGCTTCTTTCTTAATGCGCGGGCGCCGGGCGCGGTATATCACGCCGCGGAGGCGCGCGCCTTGGTGCCAAGGCACCGTCTTGGGGTCGAGGCGGTGGAGGCACGCCATGAGCCCCGTCGCCCGCGGCTGGTTGAGGGGGAGGCAGAGAGTGGGACGGCGTCGGAGAGCCCCCTGTGGCACGGACGAGCTCGGCGACGCGGTCGAGCCACTCCTCATAGAGGTCGTCGACGGGGCGGTAACGCAGGAGCTCGTTCGCCGCGATGAGCGCGGCCCGTGCCTCCATGGGAGCACGGTGCACGTGAGACGAAGAACCAACAGGGGTGAGTGATGGAGTAGCGGTGCGACCATCCTGCCGCACTGAAGGATGCAGCGAGGACGCCTGCTGCTCGTTCCCCACTGGGCCCGTGGCAGCATTAGCGGCGGGGGACGGAGAACGACTAGGTGGCCCGCCGACGGGAGCCGTCTGAGCGACGCGCGCGGCGAGGGCAGCCCGACGCTCAGCTCGAGCACGGCGAGCGTCCGACATGGAGACGACGGAGCAACGGACTAACGGAAAGGAAGCTACGGCGCACCCCTACCTGGCGCGCCAAATGTCAGATGTGGGGTTCCGACAAACCCTTAAGGTTCGAACACTGGGGTGCGCGCGAAGTCTTTCCCTCCTACCGATCTACACTCTAGCTCGCTAAGATCTTGCGGACGAACTCGGCGAACTCACAACACGGAAAGACACGGGGTTTATACTGGTTCGGGCCACCATCGTGGTGTAATACCCTACTCCAGTGTGGTGGTGGTGGTGGATTGCCTCACGGGCTAATGATGAACAGTACAAAGGAAGAATAGAATCCTGAGGTTGAGGTGTTCTTGTGCTTTCGGACTTGTGTGTGTCTCTGGTCTGATCCCCTCTCTGGGTCTGATCCCCTCTCTCGTGGTGGCTAGTCCTATTTATAGAGGCCCTGGTCCTCCTCCCAAATATCGAGCGGGAAGGGAGCTAACAATGGCGGGCTAATTTGAAGGGGGGAAGCTACTACAAGCTATCCTGACAAAAGCGGTCTTCGCCTGCGAAAAGCTCTGGGGTGACGCCATCTTGGGCTCCACGACGACCTCTGTCTTGCAGTCATCCTGGTCTTGGTCTTGTTGCACCGAAATGGCAACCTTTGCCTGAGGCCTCGGTACTCCGCGGCTGCGCTTGCCTCCTTTGCACCAAAGAGGAAACAAGGACGCTGTGCGCGCTGGCGCCTGCCTGGTGTCGATCGTCATGGCTCACGTCACGAGAGCCTCATGAGGTTCGCCTCGCCTTGATATCTCCGCGCCTCGCGAGCCTGCCTGACTAGGCCGCTCGGGAGAAGGTCTTGCGTCGTCCGCCTCGTGAGGCTTGGACCCTCGCGAGGGTCTTGGATGCTTTGTTGATGAAGATGGGCTGTACGGCCTGCTGCTTGGCCACGCCGCGGGCCGCAGACAGGCAAGTCTGGGGACCCCCGTTTCCAGAACGCCGACAGATATAGGTCATGTTTGGATATGCATTTGTAAAAATTGAGATTATTCATACTAATCCTTTCCCTTTCACCATTGGTTTGCATATTGTTTTTATAGAGCAATCACAATAGCCACAATATGCTCAGATAACAATAGAATATCCAATGACTTTGGTAAAATTGTACTTTCTCTGATCCATGTTAATTGTCGTTGTTACTAAAGTTGTATTAGATCAACGACAATTAATATGGATCGGAGGGAGTAGTATATAAACATTAAATAATAAGTATAACATATCATTTTTATTTTATGTTAAAACATGTTATTATAACTTATAGATGTTCCCTGCGCACACAAAAAAAAATCAGCAACTTCGGGCAACTATTTAGTAACAGAGGACTCTAGCAGATGCTTGTCCAACTGGGCCGTTTCCCAGACGAGATTAGTTAACTTATCCATCACATGTGTCGACTAGTGTGTATGCTTGCACAATGTTGGATATCAAGCTAAGGCTTTAGCTCTTTCATCATTTATGATGGAAAAGCAGATGCCAAATTACGTTTCGAGAAAGAAAAGAAAAGGAAAGGGGAGATAAAGAAAATAAATAAAGGAAAAAAGGAAAAATGTGTCTACAAATACAGTGCAGCCTGGAGGAACATCAATAAAGCATTTGCTGGTTGTAGAAGCAAGGAACAAATCCACCTTAGCTTTGGTTTAAAGACTAAAGCAGCAATAAGATATGGCCAGAATCCAGTTGTTAAGTACCCCCAACTGCACGCGACGTACTAAGCTTAGCTCCAGACTATTTTGTACTCACTAGCGCTCACGCAGACTTAAGTTCGGAAGAAAACGTTGCAGCCGGGAGGTGCGTGCAAATCTTGGCTTATTCGGCTGCCACCTTCAGGTAAACAAACCCCGGCCTTAGCTGTTGTTCTTTTAGGCCTCCTTTGGTTTATAGGATAGCAATTTTATAGAAATAGAAAAATCATAGGAAGTGAGATGACATGCATGCATCTCAATACCTATAGAGAAAAGGATGTTATTTGATGCATAGGGTAAGAATTTTTTTCATTAAATGTAGGCTAATGTTTTTTTCCTTCAAAATGTGAAGGAACTAAAAGGCTTCAAGGGAATTTTTTTCTTTGCAAATCCTATCCTATAGAGTTTCTATAAAATCCTACAAACCAAAGGAGGCCTTAGAAAGAAAGAGGAAAACCGACTAGAGTTTTTTTTTTGAAGTAAGAAACAGAGTTCATAAGCATTTTTTATTTGTCAGTAAAGCCTTATTAACCTGATCTACCTATATACTTACTATATGCATTGTAGTGGCAAGTATAATGGTGTTATTTTAGCGGTACCACATAGAATGTTGTCAAGAGAAAAAAATTTAGCCAAGAAATGGCCTCTTAGAATGAAAATAAGAAAATTGTCCCCATTTTAAATCTACTACATCGTAGACTAGTACTATATTTCCATGTGCATACGAGCATTAGTGGCAACAGATGACACCAAAAGATATTGTATTGTATAACATTCTTTTGTCTTCTCTACGAGCAAATTTTAATTGGTACATACCCTAATGCTGATCTTGTTAATTTTCTTCTTGTGTGTACTCATGTTCAGGCAAATCATGTCTGGTTGCGACGAACATGAAATAGCAGACTTCTCTAGGGTCGTTGGAGGACAGACGTTGCAAGTGAATGCTCTCCTGATAGGGAATACCATCCTAATGGGGGTCATGGTCGGGATAGGCGCTTACGGCCATCACTACCGCCACCATCCATTGACTCGCTTCCTCTTCCTTGGTGCCACCATATTATTCTTACCCATCGTCTCCTACATTGTATCCATCACTAATAATCAGAATATTGTGACTGTTCTCTCCAGTAGAAATAGAATGGTGACAGGGTTGTGTCGAAGCAATCACAGATTTATGGTCTTATTATGTGCTACCGTTGTTCAGATTGTTGGTATCAATACCACCGCAATCGTTGCCGCTGATGTTAGAGAAGGTCGAAGCATTCCTCCCCCTACAGTACTACTTGTGCAAGCAATATGGACTACCTACCTTGGATTCAACATCATAAAAGGTCCAAATGCAATGTCCCTACAAAATGCCATCAAATATATAACATTGCTTGCCATTTTTTCACCATTTCCACTTATCTTTGCCAAAATAGTCTTGAAGTATTATGCCTGGTACCATGCCAAACAATCATTTGCATTTGGACGCAATCCTCGTCTTATTGTTGGATACATGGAGCAGCTACCAGATAGAAGTTATCATGCTGAGGTGGCCGGTGAGTATACACCTCCCCTACTTATTGTTTCAAGGGAGGACACTATGTTGGTAGAGAAGCAGCCCCATGGTTACCGGATGTGCAATACAGCTGATAGGACAAGGATAAACAACAACGCGGACTTAGTGACCATTGACAAAGTTTGGGAGTTGGATGTCATTCTTCTCAAGTCAAAAACTCAGTTCGAAGATCTATGTTTTTCATTTGCATTGTTCAAGATGTTACGGTGTCGTTTTGCAAAATATACCGTCACTGAAGCTGGATTCATGAAGGCTCAAAACTTCTTATGGCATGTGCTGCTCGAGGATAGTGGTGATACGCAGATACTGGGGGTGATTGCATCTGAGCTTTCTTTTCTTCACGATTATTATTATTCATCCCTTCCAATCTCATACTCCAAGAGCTGGATACCAATCTGGAGCATATCCATTTCCATCTTAAGCATTGGTTACTGCTTATTTATCACAATGATTTTGATGGCATATCTCGTGGCAAGTGGAGTGGCGAGTGGAGTTGAATGGCAGGTTCTTTGTCAAGTAAATTGCATGGGAAGTCCCTATGGAACTGGTGATACCAAACATTTTGGAAGTGTGTGGTTTGATGTATTGCCATTGCTTTCACTTGGTGCATTAGTCATGCTTTCTGAAGCGAGGGAAATTGCGTCCTACATCTGCTCTGACTGGACTAAAGTAGCCTTATTGTGCCACTATATTTCTTCGCGTGAATATCCTACATTGCCAAAATGGATTGGCTTATTGTTGCAGTGTAGATGCAAGCTAGTGGAGCCTTGGCAGGATAAAATGAGCCAATGCTCAATCCTAGTGCTCCGCCGAAGAAAAACTCCATTGGCTATCCTCAGGCGTCCCATTCCTCTGCCTGAGCAAAAGAAGAACGTTAAGGTACCCAGAGAAGTGAAGGCTGCCATTGTCAACACACTGAGAAGCATCAGGGGAGATCTGAGAAACGGCATGATGTCTCTGCAGCAGTTGGGCATTCAAGTTGGTGGCAACTTCCTCCAAGCATGCAATGCCAAAGGTACATCCGACGCCTTGCTTTCTTGGCACATCGCCACAAGCATCTTTGAGGTGAGGTACCCACACTCAACAACTTCTGGCCATGCAAGTGTCGCCACCCACTTGTCACGCTATTGCGCCTACCTGGTGTCATATTCTCCGGAGCTACTTCCTAATGACGATGCATGGAGCAATAGCATGTACAAGGCCACCAAGAAAGACGCCGAGCGCGTCCTCTCAGGCCGCATCGCCAAGCCAACACCGGAGCTGCAATATCGACACTTGGTGGAGCTGCTGACTGCGAGATCCAAGCATGAGGTGCTCAAGGACGGTGCAAAGCTCGGCGAGCAACTGGTGGAGTTCATGGAAGGGGAGGAGGCGAGGTGGAAGGCTCTGGCTGAATTTTGATGCAAGTTGTTGTTGTACATCGCTCCATCGGATAACCTCGATGGGCACGCGGAGGCGATCGCCCGGGGTGGCGAGCTGGTAACACTCCTGTGGGCACTGCTCACCCATTTGGGGGTTGTCAGTAGGCCTAAGGCCACCTCCACTACCAATACTACTACTACTACCACCGCCACGGGTGCTTCTGATGTCGTTTAAGCACTTACGGCAGTGTGTATTAAAGGTCCTCGAACTAGCTTGCATCAAAGGTCCTCGAACTAGTTTAGAGGTGTTACGTAGGTCCTCGAATTATGAAAAGGGTCATTCAGGTCCTCAAAGTGCAATATGCGTTCATCCAAGTCATCGAACTATTTTAGAGGTGTCATGTAGGTCCTTGAACTATTTTAGAGGTGTCACATACGTACACACTTATTGCACTTCAAGGATTTTTAAGGACCTGGACGACACTTTTCATAGTTCGAGGACCTATGTGACACCTTCAAAATAGTTCAAGGACCTAGGGTGCACTTCACTCTACTATTATTTCAAGTTTAGCTAGCAGCTGGCTGTTATGCTGCATTAATTAGTTCCTTCAATGTTGTCCTACGGTTTGCTGAATTTGTTGTAATGATGAACGTTTTGTTTAGACTGGGCGAACCACGAGCTTGCATTTACATTTCTGTATTATAAATTATTTTGCACAATCTCTTTCGCTTTTGCCTAGTTTTGCTTATTCATGGCGTTGAGTTCTAACTTGTAAACCAGCGTCAGGTCTAGCTTTTACTGATCTCCCGACTCCTGACTGACAAAGCCAAGAAGAACTGTTGGTTGTTCTTCTTGGGTGGCTCCGACTTCCGAGGAGCTTCTCCGCGCTGCAGGTCATCAAATCCAGGTTGGGCAGTGCTTAGCAGACAGGAGTTTGACGGAGAACAGACATAAAAACACGACGAACATGGCCCGAGTTGTAAATGTCAATGTTTTTTGCATGGGAAGGCACACGGAACTGCGCGACTCTTGGCTCCATGAGACTTTAAGGAAGCAGTTTTCCTTTATGGAAAGTGTCCTTTTGTTCGCGAGCTCAAATTCCACCTATGAGGGATTTTATTTTTATTTTTTTGAAGTTTAAAAAATTCAGAACTTTTTGGCAACAAACATTGAGGGATTGTCTACATAAATACATGCAGAATTTTGTGAAGACAAATTATTCTTAATGTTTTAAAAAAGTTCCAAAATGCTTTAACATCGTCTTTTTCTTGGCCCAGAGCGTTTATGAATAGGTTTTCTAAATGAAAATTTGTACATATGTAGACAATTTGTCCATGTTTGTTGAAAAACAGTTTTTCTTTTACTATTTATACATTGTACTGTTTACGAGGGAGAATTTGAACTTGAGCAGAAACTTCAAGCACCTTTGCAGTGTTTACAACTTAGTTTCCTTTGCACATTGTGAGTTTGTGACAATACACAATAGTAGACTTCACACATTTGATGGAACTGTGAGATAACATGGAGCAGCAAATCTTTGAGCATTTGTGCTTTTCAAATTAGCAGTTAATTTTTTTCATTACAGTAGATAATACTCCAGCCACACATGTTGGCTTTCGGACTCCAAGGCAGTACCGAATTTGGCTAACTCTAATTAGAAATTTCTTATTTTACGGCCACTGCGATAGATTGTTGCTGTAACGCTCAGGGGTCTGCGTAATCGGTCAGCCCAACTATTTTTTTTCTAGTTTTCTTCCGTGAACATCTTTTTGGTATATGATTTTTATTCTAATTAATGAACAATGCTTTAAATTCATGAATGAGTTATTTATTAAGTATATGATTTCTAAAAGGCTTGTATTTTTAAAATTTCATGAACATTTTTGTTTCATGTATTTTTTATTTTTAAACATAATGAACATTTCTTACTATTTGTAAATATTTTATAAATTCTGAACACTATTTAAAATCTATGAATGTTTTGAAAATAAATGGTGAACAACTTGTTAATTCATAAAATTAAAATTTCAATAATTTTTGTCCTATAATAAATGATTTATCTTTTTGAGCTAGTAGTTGCTAGTTTTCCCATCATCTTTTTTTTACTTAGGATTGAATATCACCAATTTTCTCCATGAGCCGCACCAAGCACACTGGTTGGGACAGCCCACTGCATGTTTTAGCGACCATCTCTGGCTGAATGCGTAGAATAACAGCCTCCCGTATTGTATGTGGTAGTTCACTCTTAGCACTTTGGGCCGTTTAGATTCTTTCATTTTTTTATGATAAAATATTAAGTGATATTATTTATATGTCCATTGATAACTCAATTAAGTGATGTTATTTTAATACAAAGTATAAAACATACACATGTTGTCAAGTTATTAATAGACAGACCAGAATTTGCAAGCTATATTTGACAATGAAAACACCGGTCAGGAATCAATGCTAATGGTTCAACTTAATACTCTAGTAGATTCTACAATTATGAATACATCATCATACTAAAATTTGCTATTAAGATTTGTTTGACCGTAGTTTTAGATATCTCTACCATGGCATTAAAAGATATAAAAATATACATAAACACTCACACACACACACACAACACATAATTCACATTATAGTTTATGCAGTAATAAAAAATAATGGATGGGGTTATCTTTATTAAAATTACTGCAATGCAACAATTGTGTAACACTATAACTAATAAACATGTTAACTACGTAAACTATACTCATTAAGATTGTAACATCGTAAAATAATTATACAAAATTACAAATGTTTAATATAAAATAAATTTATTATCATTTGTCGTTTTCCATGTCGAAGCACACCACTACACCTCATACAGTTGCACATTAATTAAGTGAATGTGGGCCGTCTGCTGCCTTAAAACAAAAAGTTGAACGGGCCAAGCTAAACAAAAGCCCACAATTTTAGGTATTAGTCAAAATTTTAGGCAAAGATCATATGTCAACTTTAGCGATGTCCTTTATTCGAAGGCCGCTGGAGAAAACCTTTCGCTATTCGTCATCTCATGTCTCTTGGTCTCTCGGTATATTAATTAGGCAAAGATAAAAACGGAGGCGTGAATCATATGGAAACTATCAGCCAGAGCATGTGCGGGGGTAATTCCTTTCCACGTGCGCGAGGTGTGGCTTAAGAAGCATTTGTTAGGCAGATAGTTTCGGGATAATTTTAATTTTGTTAGTCAACATGATATATTAATTGTAAAGCAACCATAGGTAAAAAAACACGACAATCATGGGCATGCCACGGCCCAGTTTAGCCCTAACTAAGCTCTGTCCCCTATCTGCTGCCATACCCCGCAAGAGGGCGGCATTGATAGAGTAGGGACACCACTTATCCAGACGCAGCAACTAGGGATGGTGCATGCACATGTACCAACTGCAAATGGTCACGAGGCAACAAACAACAATTACATTTTATTATTTTATTGATTTAGCCCGTGTCTAATTAATTTTTTGGTTAAAACAATTTATTTTAGTATCAAACTGAATGTTGTAGGACATTTCAGTACTTAATCTAATTGATTTGGTAATCGGGTATGCAGAACCAAATTTAAGAGTATACACAACTAAAAGAAGTAGAGATTAAATGAAAACAGTGAAATCGTTGGGAGGCCTAGGTCATTTGACTGGTCATAATTTGTCCGCACTAAATTTGGGAATGGTTGGCGAAATTTGAAAGAATCCGCTTGTTATGTTGTGATTCAAATTCAAGTATAAACTATAAAGGCTAACTTCCAACGAGAGGAGCAGAGTGGAGGCCCGTCATCAAGAGGCTTGGAACGTAGCGGAGCATAGAACCAGATTCAGGACACACCATCTTTCATAGGCCTCCCGACAATATGAAGAAACATCACTCGAACGAGGGCGAGGTTAGGAGATAATATTCCAGGTCGAACACGACACCATCGCCTCGCCATCGTCGAATAAACACAAACCTTAAATTTATTTTAACCCTAGCACCATCGGACCAAAAGCCCTGGGGTCCTCGCCCTTCCATCGTCGGGGCAACAAACAGAGGGAGAAGGGGCCCTCAGACTCATAGTAGGGTAGGGCAGATCCATCGACGCCGCCTGTCGCCTAGGTCGGGGAGCAGGAGTGGAAAAATCTAGTAGCTGGATTTATACAAACAGTAGTTGCTATGAGTGCTTCCGTCGTCCTGACTGCTATCATCAAAGTGATCGTGGCCATTCGAGATGAACTCGAATCCTGGTCATCTACTAAAGCCCCCGGACTCACTGCACTGCTGCCAGAGGCGTAGTAAAGTGATCGTGTGCGAGTTTTCTGCATCCTTTTTTTACCTAATCGATGAAATGATACATAGTTCTCTTACAGAAAAAAAGATAGCGGGCGAGCTTGGCAGTAGGTGGTCTTGGTAGTACGTCGCTACAGCTTAGGACTGTAGCGACAGTGCAGCATCATGGGTGGTTGAGCTCGTGCCCCCTCCCCCTCGTGGCTCCTCTTCCTCGACAGCTCCGAGATGTGGCAGATCATGTATGGCAGATCGGAGTAGGACGAACCGCCTTCCTCCATTACCGCTCGCGCCTCCGCGGCGATCTCCCTCGCCCTGGACCTCCGTTCCGCCGCCCCCTCCATCAGCTCGGTGATGGCCCTCCCCACGTCGCTGCGCGTCACCTGCACCCCCTCGGCCTCCTCGGGGAGGTACATGGCGGGGACCTTGGCGCCGGACCTGACGCCGACGCCGAGCTCGTCCACCAGCAGCTTCTCGTTGCAGAACTGGTCGGTGAAGCACGGCCATGTTAGCGTCTGCAGGCCGTGGGTGACGTCCTCCAGCGCCGCGTTCCAGTCGCAGTGCGTCAGGAAACCGCCCACCGCCGGGTGCGACAGGATGGCCACATGCGGCGCCCACCCTCGCACCAGGAGGCCCCTCTCTTCGTCGTTGAGCAGCGCCCTCACGGCGGCCTCGTCATTGGCCCCCTTGATGGCCCGCTTCCAAAATAAGTCACTTGACAATGACTTGGTTAAATCTCAATTGACTGAGACCTA